CAACACTGCCTTCTCCATCTGGTTGAGTCTTTGCTGCAGTGCTTACGTTATTGTGGTCGCTTACACCTTCCTGTTCTTGGATGACGGTAAGTTTTAAAAATATAATCCCACACCTACCGCTTACTTTCACCAAGTAGTTAATTAATAACCAGTTATGTACTAAGTAATTATCAACTCAAGTAGCCATAATTACTTTAATTCCAACAAATAATTAACATAAACCTCACATCACAATCAACTGTTAATGAGTTGACTGTATCAACATCAAAAACCGTGTCTTACGTAACATTTTATATTTAGGTAACACCAAGTCCGGTAATGTAGGCCTGGCCATCAGTCAAGGTCTGATTCTGGTAAACATGGTCCAATACGGAGTCAAGCAAGCGACGGAAGTAATCTCACAGATGACGTCAGTAGAGAGAGTCATGCAGTTCACGTCACTGCCTCAGGAGAAGATTGAAGGTCCCAAACCACCAACAAACTGGCCACAAAAAGCTCGAGTTGTATTTAAAGACCTCACTCTTCGGTATGACAAGGACGCTGATCCCGTATTGAAGGGACTTAACGTTACCATCGAAAGTGGATGGAAGGTGAGTTCCTTGTAAAATTATGAATTGATACTAACTTTAAAAAAGTTTGAAGTATATAACAATATATTGCAGTTTTAATTATATCTCTCTAACGTTATGCACTAGATGTTCGATCCCATTATTTTTTTTACTTCTTCAGGTTGGAGTCGTTGGTCGTACTGGCGCTGGTAAATCTTCTCTAATCTCTGCTCTCTTCCGTCTGGCACCCATTGAAGGCAACGTCTACATTGACGATGTTGAGACTGGCAAAATTGCTCTTAAAGTAAGTTTATCTTCTTTCTGAACACGTAAACAATCTTCTCTGATGGGAAACTTATTTCTAACATTCATTTACATTTTCTAGGAACTCCGTTCGAAGATTGCTATCATTCCCCAGGAGCCAGTACTATTCTCCGCAAGTCTACGATACAACATGGATCCCTTCGACAAATACTCTGATATTCAAATTTGGGAAGCTTTAGAACAGGTAAATGTCATACTTTAGTCATGTTTGATTGCTTACGAAATATCTCCATCATCAAAGAAGTACAGCAGTTCTTTCTTTCCTTGTATTAGCATCGTCATCGTCGAATAGATTCTTCTGAATATCTATTTGATTCTTGATTAAACCCGTTGTCAGGTTTTGAGGCTACATTTAAATTTTGAAATGAGTATTTTTTGTGTTTATTCCAGGTGGAATTGAAGAACAGTATCACATCTCTAGCGTCTCCAGTAGCATCAGGAGGCTCTAACTTCAGCGCAGGACAGAGACAACTATTGTGTTTGGCTAGGGCTGCACTCGCACGCAACAAGCTCTTAGTTCTTGACGAGGCTACTGCCAACGTCGACCCAACGTAAGTACTGTTTTACAATATAAAAAAATGACGGGTTTCCCAATATAAGGCTTCTATGAAACCATAACGAACTTAAGACATCCTAGTATTTAAAAATATTTTTCTCATTCCTTCTAATTTCAAATCATTAAACCACAACTACAGATTGAAACTTAAACTTAAATGGACATCAATAACTTTGTTACATCATCACATTTATAATTGTGTTTTCTTTTACAGAACTGACGCCATGATACAGAAGTCTATTCGTAAACACTTCGCGGATTGTACTGTGATTACCGTCGCCCATAGATTGCACACTGTCGCTGATTCCGATAGAGTAGTGGTAAGTTAATCACATCACTATGTCAAATAATTAAAGAATAATCTAGAAGATTCTTATTTTGCGTCCCTAAAAAAATTAGAGCTCAGAACACTCATGGTGAAATATCTAAGTCTTCAACAGCTCTCGGTTAAGAACTCTTCTAAATAATTACCGAAAAAAGTTTTAGATTGTAAAGATAACTCGTACCTTATTAACACATACTATCTAATTTTATTATTTCAGGTAATGGAAGCAGGTCAAATCATAGAGTGCGGTCACCCACACGAACTACTCCAAGACGAGGAAGGTCCCTTCACGAAGATGGTGAAACAACTTGGATCTGCTTCCGAACAAAGTCTTCGAGAATTAGCAAGCAAAGCTTACTCAGAACACAATATTAAGAATGCTATGAAACCTTAAGCTTATATAGCAACTTATGAAAGCGTTTAAAATTTTTAGTTTATGGAAATTTTGTAGCTTCATTCCAAAATATTTAAGCAAAGTATACACTGTTAGTAGGGAGAGAGCGATGTATTTCATTTATTTTCATTGATACTGAGGCCAACTACGTACGTGCAAAAATAACGCGTCCCTGTTACTTGCTCGCTAGAAAGTTGTCTGTGTAGTCTATGCTTTATAGTGTTGTACCAAAGAGTCATTTGAGCGTTAACTTTTCTCTATGACCATTGACGAAGAATTCGCTATTTGAATTCGAAAATTACGTACCGTATTTTTTTTTCCAATTGTGATAAGTTACATCCTATTTTGTTGTTTGTATTGTATACGTATCCGTTTGAGGTACTTACTGTCTATTTTTTCCGAATTATTCGTTAAGTACAAATGAATGTCTGCGATTGGTATTAATTTTTATGCCTGGATCATGATATGTATCTAATATATTTATTATTATGTGTGTTTATAAGAGTATTATTGTTCATTAAGTAGTGCCATGAATCTGTAGATATGTTCATCCTAATTTTAAGCAACTTGGAAAACGTAATTTTAGCCTGTAAATAGTAGATTAATGTAGTAAATTATTTCTGTTTAGAATTATACATAAAAATTAATATCTAATTACTAATGTAATACTGTAATAAATTATGTTAATCAACTGATATTTTTCCTAATAGGTATTTACATTATTGTAAGTTAGAATCTATGTAGATAGACCGTTATTAGCCATTAGGTATTAACAGAATTGTTATAAAATCAAACCAAATCTATTTAAATAAATTACCCATAAATCAACCATAAAATATGTTTTTCATTTTTAATTATTTACGTACGTACCAAGCTGGGGCACTGTCTAGTGCCCCAGCTGGTGTCTAGTGTCCTGTCTAGTGCCCAAATGGTGTTTGAGCTGGTACTTGCCTCATCACCCTAACTTATATATTTGTTTTAATTATAAATGTAAAAGTTTCTTTGTTCCGATGTGTCCGTCAATCACGACGAAACTACTGAACGCTGGCTGAGTTAGGTGATAGGACACTTTTTATCCCGATTAAATGCTCCCAAGGGATAAAACAGGAATCATATTCTGCGCGAACGAAGTTGCGGGCAACAGCTAGTCTATAATAAATGTCTAAGGCTCTATGAATGTACATTATTTTTATTAGTATGTAATAACATCACGCCTTTTATCCCTGAAGGGGTAGGCAGAGGTGCACATAGCGGAACTTAGAGCTCTTTCACATTTAGGCGACTTCGGCAGCGCGACAGTGGCGCGTTAACTGCGCGACTGTCGCTCTGCTAGAATTTCATAGTTTAAACAGAAGCGTAGCGGTCGCGCGCTGCCGCCGCGTGTGTCAGTCGACAATGAGCCAATGTTGCAAATAAGTCGTTTTACCATCTCCTGGATATTGTGGATGACGTTTGGTATTTGAATTGAAGTTGTACTAGAGATAAATGATGCTGATAAAATCGTATAAAATATCGATTGAATTATCTAACTGTCAACAATTTCAAAATAATTCAATGTAATATAAGTTGCGGTGAAATACTACAGCCGTAGCTCTTAACAGGTATTTTTTAGTTCATAGTACAGTACGTAACTTGCATTTCGTAGCGCATAGTTTGTAGAGCGTAGTGTGTAGCTCGTAGCGCGTACGCCGTAGCTCGTAGAACGTAGCTCGTAGCGCGTACTTCGTAGAGCACAAAGCGTAGCTTGGAGTACGCTGTTCATTGCACATAATTTGTAGAGAATAGTGCGCAGCTCGTAGCCCGTAGCTCATAGCCCGTAGTTCTTAGCCCATAGCTCTTAGCGCGTAGCTCGTGAAGCGTAGCTCATCTTTCGTTGAGCGTAGCTCTTATGTCGTCGTTCGTTCAAGTAGAGTTCACAGCGGATACATGATCCGTAGCGCGTAGTTTGTAGAGCATAGTGCGCGGCTCGTAGTGAGCAGTTCGTAGTTAGAAACTCGTTGTTCGTTGAGCATAGTTCCTAGCTCGTCGTTCGTCGAACTATAGTAATATATGATCCGTAGCGCGTAGTTTGTAAAGCCGAGTGCGCAGTTTGTAGCGTGTGGTTTGTAGAGCATACTATGTAGCTCGTAGAGCATAGTGCGTTGCTCATAGCACGAATTTCGTAGCTTGTCGTTCTTTAAGCCTAGCTAGTCGTTCGTTGAACTAGAGTAAGTAGCGCGTAGCACATGGTTCTTAAAGCATACTTCGTAGCGCGTAGCAGTGGATTACTGTTAATAATTCCGTAGGCTTGCCTCGAAATAGCACACGCATCACTAGGGCGTTATCAACCACCTAACTTAACCATTGTCGTCAAGTAAGACACCTAAACCAGTAAGGCACCAGTCGGCAGACAATTTTCATATACAGTTGTGTCGAAAATCGATAAGTGTAATTATTATTATATCTATGTAACCACAGTATGTAGCTTATCGAATAGCGAATGCAATAGTAAATAGTAAGTAGGCCATGTTTTCGAAAATTAACACTACATGTGAATAGAAACTAAGAATTTTAAGATTTTGGAATGAAGCTAAGTACCTCTAGTTACTTAACATATTATCCAGAAAAAGTTTATGTAACCGAGTATGCTCGATCATGAATCATTATTAAAAACGCGTTTAGTTTACCATTACCTCTAAAATAAGGTCGCAGTTTAAAAAGTTCAGATTTGCTAGAGACCGCTGCTGAGTAGTCTCTTTCAAATCAATATCCGAGAGTAGGCGGGAAAAGTAGGGGTGGTGATAAACCTATTCTACTCGGATGTCACCACACAACCAATCAATTTTGTATAAGTTTAATAAATAATACAAAATGTTATGCAACAAAAATATTTATTATCAAAATAAAGTCATCAATCTCAAAACAATTGTACTTAATTCATTTGTACGAATATTGTGAACCTTATGGTATTGGTATTAGTACCTAGTTTTGCTTAAAAAGAACATGATGTGAATTGTTTACTTCTGGATCAGATAATCGTAAACTGGTTTCTTGCCCAATTTGTATTGGTTCTGGAAATGTTCTAAAGCCTCTCTTGGCAGTTTGTACTCCGCCACAACTGGGTCTTGGAACATATTGTCAATATATTCCACCTGGAAAAAAGGAATAACATTATTAGATGATGAGTATTCGCTACCAAACTTCACGAGATGTACTGCTGAGTTTCTTAACTGGTTATGACTTACAAAGGGAATATCTACTTAATTGGAGGTTATAGTGCACTGTGTTCCCTATTTTCCTTAATGTTCATTCCCGACTACACAACGAGTGACTACACTGCTAATAGTAATTTTTTTTAAAAACATTGTCACGCAAAGTACTGAATTAGAAAATTAGACCATTTTCAATCTATCAAATCCCGAAGCCATTAGACTAACGAGTTTGATATTATTAGAGATTTCACGATCAATATCAAAATTGTTAAATATAACGTATGACATGATTGTGTTGAAAAACGCAAGTCACTCTACACGCGATAATAGAGCAATTTCATAATGTTGCGCAATACGTTAATTCAAACCTGACTTTATAGACGAAAATATACTAGACAAAGAAGTAAACGATTCGGCAGTTTGTTTATGCGATCTTACTACACCTGCCTCTCAGTAGCTTTAGTTTTTGTGCTAAAACGACCGTAGGAGGAGATTGTGTTTTAGATTATTTAACACGTAAGTTATATCAGTTAGAAAATTGCCTGTGAAGCTACATAATGTCACTAATTATCACACGTATTTTTTTGTACTCTTTGACTAAAAACCTACTAAATAAGAATCCATATAGTATACCTGACTCGTCTCAAAAATCTATAATAAGGATACGTCCCATTTCGGAAGTCTGTCTAGAGAGACAATGTGAAAGATATACCCAAATTGTAAGCCAATATAATATCTATATGGTCTACAATATTCTCTTATATTGGTACTACAGAACACATACATGGTTCTTATAGATACAAAACTAAACACACCCTATATTCTATAGCCCGATGAGCGGACCCCAACAAATCAAACATTAGATAAAAACTGTTATCGGACTGTGTTTTAAACGAACTTTTAGATAAGATACGCAATCAATCTCACTTACCAATAACTTGTATTTCTGCTTGTCCAGTCTAGCCAGGTCATGGTTAATTACGTGGAGCCTTTCGAACCAGGGCCAGATCATGTAGTCTGCGTAACCGGGCTGGTCTCCATCGAGGAACTTGGTGCCTCTGTTCTGCAACTCTTGCTGAATGAAGGTCAAATTTTTGTAGTAAGCGGTGATGTTGTCCTCCGTGATTGTGTCCGGTCCTCTCACTAGTTTGAAGTATACGGCGTGGATCTGAAATAGATGGAAAATTTGGTTTACTCTGATTTTTTTAAGGATTTAAGTCAAGTCAAAGCATTTACTTCAATTAAACCATAATTTGGTACTTTTGAAACGTCAGCAATTACAAAATAAATAATAGTCTGTCAGTCCGTCCATCATTGAAGCTTGGTGCTGATTGATGATTGTCGAGAGAGTCATGCCGTCAAAAGAAAATAAAAAAGTTATGGAAACTTTCAATTACCATTAAATATGCATTTAAAAAGTGCAGATTTTAGAATTGGAATTTTTGGGGTTGGGATATTTACATGAATGATCAGCTGTTTTAATTTTTATAATAGTTTCATTGAAACATTCCTATTGTTCTTATGATAATTATAGATTAAGCCTTTGGTGGCAAAGTCAGTGGTTATATTCAATGTCGAAGTACTTATCCAAACAAGATTGGTCTATTAAATATTGTTTGAGGAAAATTAATTGTCCTTTTAGACTGTTTCGATCCGGTATTGTAGATTTAAAAATATCATTTAAATAAATATTAATAATAGAAGTACCTACCTATAACTCTCGGTAGAGACAAAATATGTAAAACATCAATATACCATAAGCATTACCTTGAGCAGGTCATGCAGTTGTAGAACATTACCTTCTTGTTAACGCCACATTTATAAACCAAACTAGTTTGATACAGATAACAATTAAACTTTAATTCAAATCCCAATAAGTGAAATAAGTACTCATAGTTTCGGGAGAACATGCCCTTTTCAAAAATTTGCAAGACTCAACAAAAATAGTAGATTCAATACCGAGACTTATTATGAGAGATATTTCAAAAAATATTTACCGCTGATAAAGCTTCAACAAGGATCTTGTCCACGGCCTTCTTCACTGGGTCCTTAGGAAGAAGAGGTCGCTGTGGGTAGACATCGTCCAAATACTCCACTGTTACCAAACTCTCGTAAATTGATACATTTTCTGCTATTTCCAGGGCTGGTACTTTTCCTACAGAAAGAAAATAATTTAATTAAATTTAAGTAAATAATTTTTTGTGCTGGATTTTATTTAGATCATGAATTATGATCTGACGCGTGTTGCTTCTAAGTCTTTCACGATTACTTTACTTCTTATATTTTTTTTATTTTGAACGTCTAAGGAAGTTTATATTCTATCCAGTTTATAAGTATAGGCTTCCTCTATGTACGACTCAGCTCATACATAGCAGGACTTCCCATGTAATATTATGGTTTTTTTTTTATTAACCGTTGTGGTCCCACTGCAGGGCAAAAGCCTCCCTACTATTATTAACTACTATCGAAAAATGAAATATCCCCTACTTCACCATCACTACGTCAACTTTCGGCATTTCCTTAAGTATCATTATGTTAAGAATAATAATAAAGTAACAAGATTTACCAAAAGCACTCTTGGTGGTCAACCATTCAGGTTTGTCCATGAGATCGATGTTGACGATTTCATAATCGATGTTCTTCGCGTTCAGGGCTAGGACGGTGCGCTGGGCGAAGGGGCAGTAGCGCATGTTGTACAGACGGAGCTTTCCCGTGTAGGGAGGTAGGGGGTCACCTGGTAATAAAAAAATATACATCAGTAGGATTCGAGAAGACGGACTCGGAAACATATCGCAAAAGCCGCAGCGAACATAATTATATGTATGTAGATAGGTATTAAATAGTCCCTGCGGGTGATGACTCTATCAGGACTTTTTTGAACCCACCAAGGTACCTACATAGATAAATAATTATATCAAACTTCTAAAATTGCTACTTCATTAAACTGTCAAACACCAAGCGGTCACCGGTGACCGCAACCTATTGTTCTATAATTGTGTCTACAAAACCGGTACTCGACGAGTTAAGGGCAGCACTCTACTGGGGCGTATGGCCATAATTTCAACAATTTTTATGGGTGCCATCCCAGTCCCACCATGTAGGTGCACTTAGAACTATTAAACTATTTTTGATAGATTCACTGCCTAATAACTACAATTCTCTTAGTACTTAATATAAATAAAGAAAATTAAAACTGTTCCCGTAAGTACTTTGTACACAAATTCTGTAAGTTCTGAGCCTTAGTGGACTATTTTTGTATAACAGAAGTATCGACTGAAACGAAACTATTTTTTTAATAAGTAAATAACATTTATTAGACCATTAACCATTTTTCGTTGTGAATCCAATTCTTAAAATCTTATTACGTATATATCTTTTGTATCAAGCAAAATAACATAACAATATAGAAACCAGTTTCTAGAATTAATTAAATGTGAGTTTTAATTTGAGGCCAAAACTTACTAATTATGTTTGTAATTTTTTCGTACTATATTTATCTAATTCATTACTGAGAGGGTCATACTGTTAAACACAATTTTGTGCTATAATGTATGCAATAGAATGTTTTGTACCTACATATTTATTCTTCTATTTCAACATAACTATGGTTTTAAATTTCGCGCCTAAAATAAACGACGCTGACATTGCGCCTACACACTTTTTCCTCCTGTCAATAAGGTTTGTTTTTGTTTTATATAAAAAAGTATCTCCCATAAAATAGAAAATTCGTTAAATGTATTAGGTACTTTCAATTTATTACAATAATATTATTAACACACGAACTGAATTTTTCGAACGCCTATCTAAGCCACTAAACATTATAATAGATTAAAGACTTAACTTTATCAACATGTTATTTATGCTTTACTGTACGACGTATTTACCAGAGACAAATATTACAATATAAATTGTAACACAACTAACCTGTTTTTAGATGTGGGGTGTCAAAGTTTCTCTTGTTTGATCCAACCATGGTGCTGTAAGGCAATAAACTTCCGAGAGCTCGTCCGATCGTCTGTACTCCTTGAAGTGATGAATACAAATGCACCGCGAAACTTATAGTAGACGATAACATACCTAAACACTCCCCGAAAAATCACAGATAATGATTCGCCACAAATATCAATTTAATATGACTGGACAATATTTTGCTGTTAGTCTCGCGCGTGCTACGCATACACTAGTTTCGTAATCGTCGTGAATAAACATTACCCAGACAATAAAACAATATTCTTAGATACGAGTAGATATAGTTGTTCCACAACAAATGCAAGTCATTAACCATTTTTGGATACTGACATGACGTGCCAGCAGGCTGTGTTTGTTAGTAATTCTGATTAACAATGTTTCTTGAACGAGATTCTTGTGACGTACCTACAGCAGATTGGAGTTAGGCCGTATTGATGCTATGCGTAATGACTAGAAAATTTTAAGAAAAATACAGTAGCCAAATAAAATGTAGCTAACCTAAAACCTTTGTATAAATTCACATACAACGAAAATGTAATTTTCTCAAAAAAGGAGTGTTGTGTGTGTAGCTTATTGTATTGTAGGACTTTTTTATTTTATTTTTAGGTAGGTAAGTAGTACTTCTACACTGCAATGTGTTGAGTATTTAAGTGTGGGAGAGCCATGCTTCGGCTCGACTGGAGTGATAGCACGGCCGAGCAGAAAACGGCCATGAAGCAACGCTTGCGTTGTGTTTCGTCGTGTGAGTGAGGTTACCGAGGGCCAATTACCCTGCCCCTCCCCTTCCCCAATGCCCCCAATCCCTGAATCCCAAACAATCCTCAAACTCCTGATCCCCAAAAGGCCGGTAACGCACTTGTAACGCCTCTGGTGTTCCAGGTGTCTATGGGCGACGCCGATTGCTTACCATCAGGTGATCCGTCGTTTACCGGCAAAAAAAAACACAGTCGAGAACCTTCAACCTCAGCAGATTTTCAGGTTCCCAGGCTACAATAAAGAGTTGAGATACCTACATACATGTATACTTCTATGTATTTTATACATATGTCAACAAATTAACAGCTGACAATTTAATAAAATAACATTTTTGTTTGATCATATTGTTATAGAAGATCAGTTACAATATCAATTAGATACCTAAGTACTAAGGTAATGGCTAATGTTAATTATTATACTAATGGTTATTGTATGTATAATAAAGATATTACCCATTGTAAGGATCTAATCAAAAATGTAAATAACAATAAAAATAGATCGTTGGGTAGGTAATCACTGGATTATCGTAGGTAATTTCTCAAAACAATAAAAATGACTACCCCTGTCTATACTTTTTTTTCTGAAGCCCTCCGGTTCCTTAACGTGTTACCGGGGCTCCGGCTGTGCAGGAGTAGGAACGGGGTGGTTAGTCAGTAAAAGTCTGTCCCTCCCGCCTCACACAGGCGGGAGAAGTCATTCGATGATATTCCCCCTTAAAAATATATATATACCTAATTCTTCTATCTATAAACATCTATATAGGCCTTATTGTATTTTGCATCGGTTGAGGAAAAAGATGAGTTAGGTAATTGTAGTAACAAAATCATTCTAACCATCGTATTTGACAGTCATGCAGTTTGCATGACTCGTTTTCACAACTCATTGAAGATGACACGCCCATTATCAGTATTTATCAATCCCGTTTAATCGAACGTTAAAGTAGGTATGACATATTGAAAATAAATGTAGGTAGATGATTGAATCATAATTCTAACTAACTTTTGAAAAGTTACCTTTATTATGCCGATTATGCCAGAGTAGAGGCTTAATCCCCAAAACCCTAATCCACTAAAACCAGACAACGCACCTGTAACGCCTGTAGGTCATTGACCGCCATAGTTAATGAGCACACCATTCCATAAAAAAATCTAGAAACCTTCAGTAGTATTTTCGATTTTCGAAAAATGTCAGTAGGTTCTTTGGTACACACAACACCTAGATAATAGCACGGACTTTCATATGGGTATCCATATGGTGTATGGGATGGGAATATACTCGTCCGGTCGTCTCATATCATTCTTATCCTTACTTCTCGTACCTCGTAATTATGTAAATACCTACCTTCGTCGATACAGATTCAAACACTGTTCTATACATTGTCTTGTAGAAGCAGATCTGTAAACAACCATGCTATATGATTGAGGGGGAGAAGTTACCCTTTACCCGTTACAGAATGAGAGAATCTTCTTTTCAAACTGCAAATATGTTTGTAAAACAAAATGAATATTTTTATTGTATTTTTATGCCAAAAGCCTAGGTGTCAAAGTGTCTCATATAGTCTCTCGTAGTTGCTAGACTGTAAAGTTTACCCTAAAAAAAGTAAATAATTGATTACGATTAAATATGGATATATTTATTATTTGACATGCTCAAAAATCACAAATAAATAATTGTATTTAAATTTCAGTTTTTGAGGAGTTCAGTAAAATACAACTTTTTTGCTGAACTCCTCAAAAACTGAAATTTATATTTTTTCCAATTTTGTGTAAATAAACAGGCTGTTTTTTCATGTTTTTTGAAGGGGAGAAAATCATCGAACGACTGCTCCCGCCTGGGTGAGGCAGGGAGTGTCAGACTCTTACTGACTAAAAACCACTTCGTTCCTTCTCCTGCACGCACGTCAAGCAGGAGCCCCGGTTACCCGTTAGGTTCTCCGCGACTGTTTTTTCATGCTAAAGTGTAAATTTGAATGACGCTATTGGCAACACTGTTGACAGTAAATAATTTTTCGACGATGAATTGTGACTTGACACTTTGACAGCGAGAGGAGGTCGAGAAGGAGAGGTAGAATACTATAAATTTTGAAGGCCGGCCGGATCTACGGCAAAATAAACCGAATACGTGTTGAAGTTGCTGTTGACCAGCGCGACTAATACTATTTAAATTTTACAGAAAAATACAACTGCTGCAAAATGTCTGAGAAGCATTTACAAACCGGTAAGTTACTGTTCTAAAATCAACCCGATTAGAATCTAAAAGGAAATAATTTGTATGTATCTGATTTAACCTCTTTTGTTTTTTCTTCTATCAGGTGATGCCTTGCCGCCGTATGGTGGAAAACTTCGCCTGTTCGCTATGAGGTTCTGTCCATATGCTGAGAGGACTGTGCTAGTAATGAATGCTAAGAATTTGCAATATGATACAGTTTTCGTGAATTTGGATCACAAACCGGAATGGCTTCTCAACTACAGCCCTAAAGGTAAGTGCAAACATCTTACATAAAAAATTAGGTAGGTTAATAAGTTATAGTAATTTATATGGCTTTCTAATTAGTATCTTATTGGGTAGAATAATGTTAAACCACCTACACACCCAACTCACTTTTACATAACAATGTTTTACTGCTTATTTTCTTGCCATTCTTTTGTACACACGGCTACACATCGAACTTTACATAACCAGTATAAACTGAACGTTAAATGTGCAGAAAGATGATGCGACGCGATACCAGGATAAACTGGTTTTGTATAGGTTGATGTGTGGCAGTGTGTACTCTAAAATAAATCTAAATATTAAATGTAACATTCAGTTTGCTAGTTATTTCATTGTTGATTATGGTGATATTCTAAAATAGTGCAAAATCATAATTATTTTGTTTCAAGAATAACTAAAGTAACTAAAGATTACCTAGTCTTATTTTACTACAGACTTACAATAAATATTGTAGTGTAGCTTATAACAAATCTACTTGCTACATTTCTACTGATAAGTACCACTTGACAATACAGTGTTGTTTGTTTAAGTTGCGCGGGATATCAGTGCTGATAAAATGTGTAAAATGATAAAGCCTCAACTCAATATAATCTCATTCAAATGTAATGCTTTGCTTAAATAAACTAAATCAATGACATTCTATCTGGTTTAATGAAGCATGCTAATTTTTACTCTTGCATAAAATTGATAAAGGTTAAATTAGTAAAAAATATCTATTAACTCGTCAAGTACCATCATTATAGACACAATTATAGAATAATAGGTTGCGGTCACCGGTGACCGCTTGGTGTTTGACAGTTTAAATCTTGAAATGTAACAACATTACATTCACAACTTTTATTTAACTATGGAGGTAGGTTGAGATCTACATACCTGTCAAGTTATGAATCCTATGTAATAAAAGATAAGCCTATTGGCATATTTTAGAATGTTAGAAATTCTATGTTTTTTGTAAGTTTTAAACCTATTTAGACAATTGGTCTAATTAGACCCATTGAACCAGCTGATCAAAGGTTTTTATTTACCCAAGAGCCTTGGCTCAGTAGTTCCACTTGCAAATCAAATGTAGAATGTAATCTTCTGTACCCTCAACCACTGAACTAAAAAATCCTTTGTGTCAGTAATAGTAAAGTCTAGAATTTCTAGTGATTCATTGTACCATTCAGGAACTGTACCAGCTCTTGAGTATGAGGAGGGCAAAGGAATCTTCGACAGCAACATCATCAATTTCTACTTGGATGAGAAGTACCCAGATGTACCACTGCAGTCAACTGACCCACTACGCAGGGCTGAAGACAAAATTATTGTGGAACTGTTTGCTGGAGTAAGTATTTTAATCTTTATTACATTCTAATTAGATTCTTATTTAATTGTGCTTGTTGTAAGGTATTTACTACTAATTTATTTAACCGCTGATAGCAGAAGTGATAAAGATACCTATTTCCTAACTAGTGGCTAGTGTGAATCCAATTCCTTTTACAATTGACACCACTCATTTAGTACTTTTATAAATATACCAGCTTCTGTTAGGCTTTACACACATTCCCATGGCATACAAATTTTCTAAAGAGTGCATATATATAACCTGGGTGTCTTCAAGGCCTGAGTGAATAAGTTGCTTATGAGACGACGTGCTACATCGTAGACCGCATCATCGCTTGCCACGAGGCGAGATAGTGGTCAAACGTCGACACATCGAATATAAAAAAGTGGCTTATAACACATAAGCCACTTCTTTTTAAATTAAGGTCTGATATAACAATATCAGACCTTTTGTAACAAGTAAATTTGACTGTAAATTAAATGTAATGAAATGACAAGGGCACGGACAAGAGTCCGTGGAGAATAAGAAATGTAAGATTAAAAAAAAAAAAAAAAAAATATCAGACCTTAATTTCCCCTGTTCCAAGTTTCATCTATATCCGATCAATCGTTTTTGCGTGAAAGAGTGACATACACACACACACATACATCCTCACAAACTTTTGTACGAACTCCGTTTCGCCACCAGATGGCTT